GGGTTGGACAAATGGGAAAGCTCAGTGTATTGGTGAGGGGAGAGAACAAGTGCATGTTGGAGAATACCCCATGTTTGATATTCCTTCCTCTCCTCCTTTCTTGGACTTTTGTTTCCATTGTGTTGGGTGCCTCTAGAGGTAACGCAGAAGTAGGGGTACTGTCAGTACCTTCGCAAATGAATGAATTTAGCCAGGCTTAAAGAAGTTTTATTATGTTGCAGTAGAACTTACATTTTGTGCTACGAAGTCTTTCAATGGCATTCCTAGCTCCTTACTTCACATGGTTTTTCTTTTGAGTGAACTTCTCCATATAGTTAATAGTTTGAGCTGTTCATACTCCTGCATGGATAGTTTACATTCCTTGAAGCTGTATCTACACTGGGTTTTTTTTTTGCTGTTTGTTTTTCCTCCTATATACCTATACCAGCCATAAGTCTTCTTTCAGGTAAAGGGGATAATAAAGCGTTCAGTTTTTCTTTTATATTTACTTTTGCTGCCAAATACTAGCAAATACAATTGTTAAGCCACTTGGCAGATGGAAATAAGGTGAAATTACTCATTCATTTCCCATGACAATATAAGGACATTTATCAGTTCTGTACCCACAGTGAACAGAAACTGGAGATTAAAGGCTCAGGTTTGGATAGGCTGAATTTCACCTAAATCTCTGCTTTCTCCACACTGTAATTCAGTGTTCTCCTTTTTGTCTCCCTTTAGTTTTCAACCTCATCATGTTCATGACTGATAGTTTTTGCTGTTAATTATTTAATAAAATCCTTCACTTCCTATTTCAGAAAAGAAAGGAGGTTAATATGAACTGGACATTTCAACTCAATAAAATGCTTTAGCAGCTACAATAACATTAAATAAAGTTGTATGCATTTCTAAGAATTTGTTATGAGGACTTTTGGTGCCATTCAGTAACTATGTTAATGAGTGTAGAATGGTAACTTTCAAGAGCCAAGTGTTTTTGTTTTTTTTTCTGCAAGAAGTACTGGTGGTAGAATGTTTTTCTTAATTATGTCTCTGAAGTATTTAAACATGTTTGTGTATGTTCTTTGCCATGATTATTGTTAGTCTTGTTTAATGTAATTTCAAATTAAATAACTTTTTGTATAGCATTGTCATTAAACCCTGAATGGGTTTCAAGAAATGCTCTTTCAGTGGGATTAGTAGTTCCCAGCAGAAGGTATCACTAAAGGTACACACTTGAGCTGCACGTGCACTGCATAATATAAGGTAAACAGAAAACAATTCCTTGCAGCATGTTGCATCAGCTTTTTTCCTTCAATGCTGGTAAACAAATGTGTTGTTATTAACAAAATAGAACTCTAAATTAAAAAGGAAAAATAAATAGGTTATGTAGTACAGGCATTGACATCTGTGTTTTCTGGTCTTCATAGAGACTTTGGCGTATGCCAAAACTCCCTTTTTATTTTCCTTCTTTCCTTTATCATGTTAGCTCTTCCTTTTTCCCTCTCTTGTTTGCTTGAGGTAGACAGTAAAGTCAAGTCAACCAAAATCTTCTGTAGGTGTAACCAGTTTGTGGTAGTGATGCATTAGTGGGTATTTTGGTGATCTGAAATGTAAGAGGACAACTCAACAGGCTCTTTGCAATCTGCACTATACTCTGCTGGCACATAGCTTCTTTAATGTGGTGACAAACTACTGGGGCTTTTCTACTTGCAAGGGAGTTATTTATCACGTTAACTGAGAGTCCTTTGCTAGAGTACATGGATGGGCTTAACCACTTATTGGAGGGTTCTGCCATAATTCCAGGGCTGTTAATGTGAATGACTGACATAAACTTGATTAGTGAGTATGTTCTGGGAAGTGAAACATATGAGTCATATATTTGGAAGGCTGAATTTGGATCAAGCCTCGTTTAAGGTGGGAAAAAGCTGATTGTGTTCTGAAATACAAGAGGAAAACTTACACAAGGTACTCAGAGGGGGATGACTAGCTCATTTGGGAGTTGGGTGGGAGATGGATCCTGTGGAATAAAGCTTCAGACTTGGAGAGCAGACCTGTTTCTTTTACTGAATTGGTTTTTCATCTTGCTTTTTTGAGCTAACCTGTGTTGATTGCTATAAAATCCTTTTTTAATCTCTTCCTCTGGTTCTGTGGCATCAAACAGAAATATGTCATCTTTAAACAGGCACTCTTGAAGGGAATACCTGGAAAAGGCTTGGGAGGTTGCTTAGCAATAGTATACAGATTTTGAAATCTATCCATTATCTTTTCTTTATGTAATTATTTTTTAAAATTCATAACCCCTAGTTCTGTGACAGTCCAGTCTGGGGAAGAGAGCCACTAATAGAAGAGGGAAAAGCATGGCTTTTGATGCTTCCTGATGCTTCATGTAATCTTAAGCATGGGTCAAATTGTGTTGGAGAAATTATAATAATAACTCTGCCTGTGAGTCCTAAGTTGGTAAGGTTGGTGTTAATGCTGGACTGTGAATTTAGTACAGTCTCATAAGCATCTGCTTAGAGTATTTCTCCATGTGTTCTGTGAATTGGTGTAAAGGTAACTGAGTGTTTGTAGTTTCATGCTTGAAAAGATTGGAACCTTTGGAAAGACCGTGGTCTTTTCCAAATGGAAAAGTTTTAATCTAACCCAGGCATTAAATATTTATAACACGGATGATTTATAAGTGGTGGTGTTACAGTTCTTCAGGCTTAAGCAGGTAAGAGTAGCCATGGTTTGTTATATCAGTGTGTGTTCTTCTGTGTTCTAAATGTGGTTAGTAGTTTCCCAACGGCTAAGGGAATGCGGTCTGGAAAGAGAAAGGATAATAGTAAAAGTTGGTTGGCTGCTCTGTATGGGCAGAGGTCACCCCTGTGAATTCTGGCTCGGCCCATCCAGTATGTGTGTTTCTTTCTATAAAATATTGCAGGTTTAAAAACTCAACACCCAAAACCACTTTTCCTGTTTTAATTTTGTAGTAGCTGAGTAACTTAATGCATTTTTTGAGTTGGGCTCATCTAACAGCTTTGCTCTTGAACTCTTTCTCACAGAGCTGTTTCTCTCACTTGCTGTGTCTGATCAGGTGTATGTGAATTAACACTGTAGGAAAGTAGTTACCTTTGTGTGGAGTGACAATTGGCAACAAAATTTGTTTCTCTAGTTTTCTTTTACTACATACTATTTTTATTACCTCTGCAGTTTTGCAAGCCACAGGACTGAAATGATTACACACTGACATGTGTGTGCATAATCTTAGCTGGGTACAGACCACGTTGGCCTTTAGTGTTCACAACAATTATGAGTTTAGTACTCGGTGAGTGGATTGTGAGGGTGTGTGTTCAAAACTTTGAAGACTGAATCATGTATGGAAATCTGGAGGGCTTAATTCTCAAACATAACAAGTTTGGAATAGGTCACTCATCTTGAATCAATTCCCACACCTGTTTCAACAGACACAATTTTAGGCTTTTCAATAGCTTTGGTTCATGTAACAGAACTCAATGTTTATTGCCTTCTCATGGGACCACGGATTTTTAACTTTCGGGTGCATTTTCTTTGTTTTGTTGAGGATCTGGTTTTATTTCTTTGTTTAATTGAGAATAATTATTCATGAGGGTGTGCTTATTTCATGGAGTGTCACTTCAGGATTTTCAATGGCAGTTTATTATACTTAAGGGGTCAGTGCTGGTAGGAATTTTCAGTATTATCTGTGTATTATCAAGTCAATGTGTATCTCTGTTCTTTTATAAATAGAAAGCAAGTTGGTCATATTATATAGTTAGGTTTGCAGAATAATGGCAGGGCAAGGCAACAGCAAGCAGTGCATAGTTCTTGAGTTGTCTTCTGTTTTAGCTTTTCCTGCTTTAGATTTTTAGAGGTAGCTGAGGATGCAGGAACTGTCTTGTACTAGCTTAGATAATGCCAGTATGAAAATGCCCAAGATAAACTAATTATTCAAGTGGTGTAAACCTCATAGAATTATTTTATGCCAGATGTTTTCCTATTGGTGATGTTCATAAAGAGAAAAATTACTACTTTTTTCCAATTTTGTAAGATGTTAAAACTGAGGATTTGGTGTTATTCTTCATGCTAAAAATTAACATACTTTCTTAGGAGATACCTGTTATGAAACCCATGCTGATGAAATTAGTACAGTAAAAAAAAAATGGTCAAAAAAAAAATGCATATTCTGCTTAAAAGTTCCTCTTATTTTAACTTTCAAGTTTTTCAGTTACTTCTGAAGGACATAAAATGTTCATTAAGTTTAATTAATGTTAAGCACATGAAGTTTCTATTCCTTCAGTGCCAAATATGTTCTGTGATATTTAAAACAAAATCTATCCTTGTTGATGGGTTTACTTAATTAATACTTTAGAAAATTCTGGGGAAATGAAGTATGTTAAGTTATGCAAAAAATCAGCATATATTTTAAGTATTTCAATACCATGTTACTTTCTCTGTAATATTAAGTACCGAATATAATGCTAGCAATCCTTGCTAATTAAAAATAAATCAATTGAAAACATATGGTATTTTTTTATTGATTTCATTCTTTACCAGTGGCAACACAAATAAATTATAAGACTTACCTTTGTGTAGTATGATTAATCTTACATTATTTATCTGGGTTTAGAATTAAGGACTTGAAATGTTATTTGAGTTGTTAATGTGTCAACAGAGGGCACTCACGTGCTTTGACATAGCACCAAACCACTGTATTTTAAAGAGTGCTTGGAATAAACTGGAGCTGAAGATAATAAATTTAGTGGGTGAAAATGTATAAATATAATTTGATAGTGCTTAGGAAAATTGGTCAATGTCATATAAACATTTTTATTTAATGTTCCTCCTAAGTTGTAAATTTGCAGTGTTTCTTTGTACATTTTACAGGACGTTGAGGCAGTGCTTAGATTTTGCCTTGAGCTGATTCCAATAGATGCATTACTGTGGTTTTTGAGCTGAGTTGTTTGTTGCTTAAGATGGAACAGTTATAATAATGAATCAGAAATTAATAAATCCATTCTTTCCAGCTAAAAAGGCAGTAGAGGATTCAGAAGAAAAGAAGACAGTTCAGTCGAAGAAAAGGATCAAAGAATTAAGAATTTTGGATGGAAAAACTGCACAAAATTTATGTAAGTGATGTCAGATACATTTGACTATATTGTCTTTTAACAAAAAGTTGAGTCTTTCATTACTTGCTTCAGACTGGAAGTGTGATTAAATGGTAATCGCTGGTTCAGAGAAGGCACAGTGTTGTTAGGTTTTGTGGTTTGGTGTTGAGAGGCCATTCCTCATGGTTCCTCCTGGTTAGAGCAATGCAAAAATATAGCTTGAAACTTCAAATTTTAAAAATAAGGATGAAGAAAAATCAGCCATATTACTTAGTATGAATACCTAACTACTTTATTATTAGTACTTCAATAAATGATTTGCTGATCCATCTGTATTAGGAATAATTTGTAGTTTACTGAATGGGGCTCTGTTGATGCAGTGTAATATCCAGAGATAAAATTGCTTTGATAACTTCATTTCTGAAGGGTATACAATATGCATTGTCTCTCATGTGAGTTTGTTACCCTAAAAAGCAGTAGAGTTAGGGTATTTTTATTTTTTTTTTTTTTGTCTTTGCCCAGTTCTTTATGGTTATTACCAGCAAGAAGCTTGCTAGGCCCTTTGCTTTGTCGTGAGAATCTTTCCTCTCCAGGCCTGGGCCTGAAAAACTGAGAGACAAAAGCAACTGAATCATAGAGGGAACCTGAGGCAGGCATATTGAGAAATGGAGTGTCCTGCTAGACTTACTCTTTTGACGTGGAATTTTATCTAGATGTTGTGCAGATACCATTCAGCCAACTGTAAATGCAGTACAGCTATTCATACATAGTTATGAAAGGAAAAAATAATAAAGCCTTTTAGTGGCTAAACAAGTCTTTTTAAGTACTAATGCAGATGTTGCCATTGACAAAAACAGGACTGTATTGCTAGAAATAAGTAACTGCTAGAGGGCAATTAAGGCTGAGCAAACAGTTCAGTATTGTCATAATTTCATCTCTTAGAAACTTATCATTAGCCCAATGGCAATAATGTGCCTCATCTAGCATTTGTTTTACATAGAAAAATTCCTAGTTGTGAATATCTTAATTTGGATCAAGATGAATTTTCAGTTGCCAGAAATTAAGTTTGCTGCTTTAGATCAATCTTTTCTTACCTTTTTGTTTCTAATTATTTGTTATTGAATTTCAGCAATATTTTTGGGTTCTTTCCGTTTGCCTTATGAAGAAATAAAAAATATCATTTTAGAGGTTGATGAAGAGAAGCTGAGTGAATCCTTGATTCAGGTATGTGAAAATATCTCTGGTTTTATTTAGAGCTTGTTTTCAATGAAAAAGGCTGCAAAGGGTTAAGAATTCAAACATAAGAGCAGCATAGGATGTCCTGGATATCAGCTACAAATATATCAATTGTACTTACTGTTTTGTTCATTTCACTTCTACTTTTCAGTACTGTCACACATACCAGTAAAACTGTTCTGAAAAGACACTTAACAAAACTTCTGAATCTGTTGTTTTATGAATTTTCCCTTCCAGAGGAAGTGTCTGAAAATTCCAGTTTTTTAGTTTTGAAGACAAGCATTTATCAGTTTTCAGCTGCTGGGTAATGAAGTTTCATCAGGCTTCTTTTGGAAACAACTGTTTGTCACTAGTGATAACCCTTGAATGTTTCAGGTTACTGCTGCAACCCCAAAACCATCTGTAAATCTCACCTGGTCTCAGATGGTCTGGGCTTATTTTGAAACTAAAATCTGTTAGCTGGAAGGAAGAAAGAAAGAATAGAGCTTCTTTTCATCCTTGTCTGATTTGCTCACAGTAGGAGCAGAGCTCTTGTGTACACTGCCTCTCATTATCTCCAGGGAGTGCAACAGGAATACATACAAACCTAAAATGTTTTACAGATGTAGCACACCAATGATACTGGTGTTAAATTGGTTTAGTTTAATATCATGCACAGACTCAGATTCCATCTGACACAACGGGCCTCACTTTATGCCTTCATCCTTCCCTGTCTCCTGCTTGCACCTCTGTCCCATTCCCCTTAAGGCTTTTAAAATTAATTTCTTCTTCCTTTCTTGGACCTGGAGAAAGGTTGTTCCAGGGATACAGGACTAAACTGAATTGCCTGTTTTTTTCCCAGTTAGTTATATAATTCACTACTTCAAATTTGAACATAAATTGTTTTCAATAAAAACACTATGCTGCATTAAGTACAGTGTAAATGGAATTAAATGTATCAAATCAAATTTGTCCTTTTCTGCAGTTATTTTTGTCACCAAGGCCCTTTTTATTTTCTTGAGGCTCTAAAGGAAGGACTGCTGTTTTCTCATACACCTGCAACTACTCCACTCAACAGCACTTCCTACTGTTACATTCTCTTAGTGTCATATTCTGCAAGGTGTATCAGGTCAAGTTTTTCCACTAGAGGGAATAATTATTATGCTTTTGAATAAAAGCCTTACTCTAAAATACTCAATACATTTGAGAAAAATGAATTGAAAATCGAGAAGCTGAGTTTAAAAACTACTGAAGATGATTGAGGGATGGAGAAACAGCCTTCAGAAGGAAGCTAGACAAGATTGGTTTGATTAGGATAGCAATATAAATAGCTGAGAGGGAATATGACTACATTATAACTATATGGGGAGATGACTGATGTGCATAAGGACCAGGGAGAAAAATGAAGTTGCATAAGTAAAAGGCAATATTAACAACCAGAATAAATGTATATGAATTCATCATGAATGCAACTATCTAGGAACTTGGCTGCCTGTAATCTTCAAAAACCTGAGGCTTTAGAAATTGGTCCATTTCTAAAGGGAATGGTGTGGCAGAGTTGCTTCTAGTAGCAGGGAGGTTTAGCTGATAACCCAGAAGAGCTTCCTTCTGTGTTTCTAAAGATATTCTTAGAAATGTACTGGGAACAATGGACTGTATAATCTATTTCATATTCAGTTTATACTGGTTTATTTTTAGTCAAATTTTCAGACAGAGTTATTAACTCATTTACCAGTTTTAACAGTTTTCAATAGTACTGATTGGAAAAATTTGACAAAACAAACTTTGCTTTCTTTCATGCTTAGCAAAACTTGCATGTTAAAACAAACATAAATGTAGAAACTGCTTTGTTCTAAGAGTCGAAGATGTGAAAGCTAAATTGGTGTAACAGAACTGAGCATATTTTAGTTGTGCTTCTCAAGTCCTCATTTCTGGCTGCTGTTCAGACTTATAATGTAATACATAAATTAATGGGATTGATCAGTTTGAGTACATAGTAGACTATATGCTATTGTAACTTCCTTGAGGAAAACACTGGGGGAAAAAATACTCTCAATTCCCAGTGTGTCATTGAGAGAGTTAATTCTTGTAAGAGTTGTCAAACACTGTGTGTAGGTCATTAACATTGTGACTTTGAGGAGTGAATGAGTTGCAGCCTCTTAAAGACAGCCTTAGATTTCTACTTTTTGTGTTTATATAAACCAGTTTTATTTATCCTGTTTTTATTTAAACCCACATAATCATTAATACACTGAAACTCTGTTTCCCAAAGTACTGACAAGGATATGAGTATGTGATCACTGAATGCATCAGCTTCATTGTCAGTTACTCACTACATCTATATTGACTGGGCTGCAGAGCTAGTAGAGCCAAACTTCTCCACTTAAAAGCTGAGGGTAAAATAGGATGATGTGTTAGCTCTAGATCCTAAAAGGGTGTGGATGAGGAAAAGAAATGATCAAGCATGCTAGCATGATAACTTTATTTTTTTTAAAAAAGGTAGTTTTAGTAATAAATACTTTTATTTCTGTATTGATGGAAAAAATAGTGTCACAGTAAGTTTATTAATGTGCAATGGAATATACATTTCTGACAAATACTGTAAAGTTACTGATGACAGCATTTGGTAAATAGTCTTGCCTAATGAAAATAGGTTTTTTAAAAATTACATTATTAGTTCATGTCTTTGATCTTTACCAGCATTAAACTGTCAATCAAATGTGCAAGAATGTTTTACACATACTTAACTTGTTTGAATTAGGAATTTATGGGAGATGGGCTTAGGTTAATAGGAAAGAAAGCATGCTTAGATTTAAACCCAAAGCCATAGCTTAATTGTACGGCATCCAGGAGACTCTGATACTTATTGCTGTCAAGTGTATTGAACTCTGCTCACTGAAACACTCAGTAGCTCCCTGGTGTAAGTGTAAAACTCTTTCAGTAACAGGGATGCTTTGTGTGAGAGTGTCATTTTCATTTTTCCTTATTAATATGGATAAATGTTTGATTCTTTCAGGTTGGAGAATTAATTAGCTATCCCTTACAAATTTGATAAATTAGACTCTTGCCTTTCTGAGGGTTGTACCTTATTGTCTACTGTGATCAAGCCTGGCAGTGTGATCAGTAATGAAATTCTCCTAACAAAAAAAAATATTGCAAGAGTGATGGCAAGATTTGTGTGTTCTAAAAATAAGACCTGTACCTCTAATAATACAGTTTTTCTCCAATTAAGTATTTTATATCTGTAAAAAATGTTCTTCTGTAGTGCTGGTTGCTTTTCTGATTTTAAAAAGCTCATAACTTTTGTTCATATCAGTCTTATGACATAGACCTAAACAGTCATCATTGGTTCTCTGATAGTGTCACTGTGCATGTCCCTTCTCTTTTATTTACGTTTCTTAATTTTCTCTGTCATAAGTCTTTAATATGAGCAGAGGTGGTTTGTGGTGGTACTCTCTGTGTCTGGACAGCAGTAATGTTTTAATTCACTTGGGTTTTTTGATCTTAATATTTATGAACCTTTTTGAACAAACAAGGCCTATTGACTCTTGCTTGCTTGAATGTAAATATGTACTTTTTTTCTCTTGAAGAATTACGTTACTGTTTTGTTTCAACTAACATGTATATCAAAATTTAAATACGACCTGCACTTTCACTGAGTATCTCTAAAACAAATTCTTCGGCTTTAAGAATAATATTTTATACATGTAGCATATGTATACTTTGAGATGTGAAGATCATATAAAAGATAACACAATTTTCCTTGTGGACAAGGTTAAGATTTCAAGCAAGTTCTACCTTTTGCTGAGTTCCAGAATATTGGCCATCCAGAAGATCTGTACGATTCTGAGATGTTGCTTTTCTTTTTGTGCAAGGAGTTTAAGTGATGTTTGTGTACAGATGTTTTGAATAATGTCCAAAGATTGGGGTTTTTAGGTAGTTATGTATTGCTTTACACAGACCAGCTTTCCTGATTAATACTTAACGAGCAAGATGGAATCATGAGGGCAAAATACGGTTGGAGATGGAATATAATTCTTTAGGGTCTGATAGCATCAAGAATTTTGTCTATCTTCTTAATACTGAGAAGGCACTCTTCAAATTAGAGATTGTCAGAGAGGTGCTGATGTCTGTATTAAATAATTGCTGGTTTGATTTGATGTTTATATAATGTTAAAGCTGTGTAAATAAGCTTCCCATAATTTCCTCACACATTTCCATGTTGTGGTATTTAAGCGTGTTATTTTAAGATCTCTGCTAGTTTAATATAACAAATTTAATATAATGCCTTGTTTGTTTTAGAACCTAGTGAAGAATCTTCCTGAGCAGAAAGAACTCAATGCCTTAGCTGAATTAAAGGATGAATATAATGATCTTGCTGAACCAGAACAATTTGGAGTTGTGGTATGTATTTGTGCATTTATTAACTGAAGAGTTTTATTTTGTCAACTAGATTGAAAAGTAAAATTTTAAGTTGAAATTATTTTGCCTAGCGTTTTTGCAAGTTGTGCCGTAGGGAAATTTTACTATCTATTTATTGACAAGTAATAATCTAAAAATCTTTGCAAATATGTAAGTTGTTTTTATAATAGTAATATTAATATATTATAATATCAATATGTTGAAACTTAACCATATATATACATATATACAGTTCTGTGATTCCATGGTATGGATGGATATATATCCTTACATGCATATATTCTATATTTTGTGTAGCAGTAAACACATGCATGTGTATCAAAAATCTATTTGAAAGCGTGGGATGAATACTTTGTTCTCTATTTGTCATATAACACACACAGTTGCTAAAACAATGTGATAAAACGATAGTAATACTGCCAGCCCTACAACAAGACAGCCTTTTGATCCTTGGGAAGGAAGGAAGGTCAGCAAATGGCAGTGAGCAAAGCATGCCAGGGAGTGTATAAATGACATTTACATCACATATCAAGTACTGAGATACTACAAAACTTAAGTATATGAGAACACTTGAATGTTTTTATTTTCACATACTGAAGACTTACCTCCAATTACCACAGCTTTGAAGGAATAGATTTTTGCTTTGTCTCCATGTAGTGATAAAACAGAAGCATTTAATGAGGTTGCCAATATACAGGTCTAGTACTTTTTCTTTTTTCCTCATTCTTTTTATGTAGTAGTATGATTTTTTTCTTTCTTGTAATTTTTCATCCTGCTTTTCTTGGCATTTTCTTTCCCAGTAAATTTTTCAACTATAGGCTAAAGTCACTTGGGAAACTGTAGAATCTCTATAGGTTGTCTTACATACCTGAGGAACACACATTTATTGATTTTATTATTAGTATTGGATTGAAACTAAATATTTGGTCCTTTCTTTTTCACTCAATTGTATTGAAGAAGTCATGAAAGTGTCCTTATTTTCCGACAGTCATGACCACACTTTTGTTGATGCATTCTTTTGAGGAATGACTGACTAGAAAATGTTAAAGAATTTAGAAGCATTCAATGGTACATTAATTAGAAAAATCTGCTTAATCAAACACCTCCAAATGGTGGTGTTTTCCTCATGAAGGAACTAAGTTTCCCAGAGCTTGTTTGTTTGTTCAGCTTCACCATCTGGTTTAATAAAAAAATACTCCCATTTCCTTATGGGTAGTGATTCTGTCTTAGAGTCCTTTAACTACATTAATGCTACTAAAATGCTGGTTTTGTTTCCAATTTTTATTTAATTGAACAGTCCATTAAAGTGGAAGTGCCACTAAACTTCAGCTACTTAAATGGATTCCTTTTTTGCTGTGTGTTGAATTCATTTTATAGTTTTGCATTAATAATAATCTTAACATTGATGTTAGAAGTTAGTTTGGGGATAAAAGCTGACTATATTAAGTAATTTTAAAAATGCATGCTCTATTATATACATACTAGTGTATACATACTCTATTTTAGGTAAATTTAGGTATGCTAATTACTAAGAGATGCTCATCAGATAATGCCATCAAATTTAGTAAAGATTGGAATAAGTTGTTTAGATTTTTTGTAGAAAAAACATACCTAGTAAATTATTATCTTATTAGAAGAGACTGTTTAACTTACTATTCAGTTGATATTTAAATTAAAATTAGAATTTTTCATTTATATGAAAGGTTAAATTTAATTGTGTATTCAAATCAGTTGTTGGAACTGCTCTTGAACTTATATCCTGGGAGCAAAAAGGCTACAGAACTTGATATAAAGAAAAGCTAGCTTTGATGGAGAGCGAGAAAAATAGATTAACTGCACTAGTTGTGTAACATTAAATATTCTAGGTAGAATATTATCTGGTTTTTAAAGGTAAAGCGTGCTTAGGAGTTCATCTTTTGTGTATCATGGCAACAGCGTGCTTAGGAGTTCATCTTTTGTGTATCATGGCAACAGCTGCCACTTCAGTAAGGATATTTGCCTTCAATTTCAGTTATAATTTATGTTTAGACAGTTAAAGTATTATAAAAGCAGAAGCCTCATCTGTTCTATAAAGTGGGAGTGCCAAACTTTTCCTGTCAACTCAGAGGACAGGTTAAAATAAAATCTTTTGCAGTGTTAGTTGTATTGTATCTGAGGAAAACTTTACCCACTTTAGCACCGACTCTGAGTTAAGAAAAATATTACCACATTTTAAAAATCACCCCACAATTATATGTGGTGCAAGTTTTAGTTAACTCTTCAGTCAGCTAACAAACAAGTGGCTGCAGCTGATGAAAATTCCCTTTCTAGTGTGTGTTCTGGAAAAGCGGGAGGGTTTTTTGCTGGTGAGGCAGGACTGACTTAGCTGCTGAGAGCTGGGATGTCAGGACTGTCACTGCCAGTGCAAGGGAGGAAGTCGCACTGAGTTGTAGAGACTTGCAGATCCTGTGGCCCCATTTGCTGTGTAATAAGGAATTGCTGTCCTGGACAGTCCTTGCTGAGAGTTAGATGAACCAACAAGAGCTGTACAAGTTTATTGACCTGTGTGGCTTTAGAGTAACTCAGTCATTTTAATTTAATTTATTTGCCACCTGTTTGGCCTCATTATGGTTTCTAGAGCTGCGGAAGAATTTATCTTTCTAGATTATTAATAGAAAGAAAAAAGCAACTGTTTAATATATTACAGTTAAGAGCCTAAATTGCCTGAGTAAGTTGACAGGTTTGTATTTCAGGCTTGTCAGCTTTTTTCCTTAGGAAGTGAGGCAGATTTAATAGTGCTTTTTGCCTCTTTTGCCAATAACCTTTGATCCTAGTTTTAATATAGGGCTGTAGAACTGAATGATGATAAAAAGAATAAAGAACTGAATAAATAACATGATTAGATAGAGAATTCAAAGACCCCTACAAAAGCCCAGAAGGGGAAATAATGACAGGGAGTCCAATGCTCTCAGTGAGCTGGAAAAGAAATACTCATTTTTTTTCTTCTTTAACTTCTATTAGTGGAAGCTAATGCTTGCTATTACATGCACCTATTTGAATGTGTAATTTCTTATATGCCTTTGACTCTTAATTTTGTAGAACTACAAACAATTTGACCTTTTCCAAAAGATCACTGTAAGTTCAATATGTTTATGAGCCATGTGTAATTAGCAATGTGTATGAAAGAGAAACCAGGGCAGAGTGTCAAAGGAGGAAATAAAATAGCATTTGTTATTGATACTTAAAGAGCTCAACATATATTCAAATGTTTGAAATGGTAAGGAAACAACCCCCTTGAAACAGCTCTCATTACATTGTCAAGATACTTTTAAAATGGTTGGGATCAGTGACCTTAAAGGTCTATTTTAACCAGAACAATTCTGTGATTCTCTAAATATTATGCAGATAATCAAATGAAATGAAAACTTAATACTTTTTGCAAGTCAAACTATGTTGCAAAATAAATGTTCAGTGTTCCATGACACTCAGAGCAATAGAAAAGAAAGCATAAATTGGCTGAAGTGTTGTGAATTATTATTCTTCACAAGTTTTTAAGTTGCACTCTTCTTTTGACTAATACAAGTTTTGTTGCACTTTTGGTTTCAGGTTCTAAAGCTTTTGACATCTTTTTCTGTGCCATTTTGAGTAAAATCAGTAATTGGAGATTGTTCTACAAACGTTAAAGCAAATTGTGATTAATTTCTATTTCCATCTTCTGCAGCTCAGTAATGGTAGATCCTTTCATGGCAGATGTTTTCAGTATGATATTTCTGAAATATAGAATGATTAGAAGCATTTCAAGACTTTGCATGATGTTAGCTTATAGAGGCTCACAGAGAAATTTTTATCAGTGGAGATGTATAAAAAAAGATAGCAAGTTATGCTGAAACGCTTCTTTTATGATCCTTTCCTTTTTGTCCTTCCAGTCTTATAATAAGAATTGTTTGAGACCATCTGGACAGCCTTCATATTTATGTTCATTTTAGTATGAATTCATTATTATTCAGGCCACACAAGTCTATCCTGTGGAAGTTGTTTCTGCTGTTTCTAGTAGATAGCTGTCTTGTGGGAGATAACACCAGTAGAAACATCATGGTTCCTCAAGGAGCCATGGTGAAGATTGGTACAACAGAGACATGAGCACATAACATTTCTGTTTTGATAGCCAAGATCTGTGGTTTGTCACATAACAAAGCTTTTCTTTCAGGGGGAAAAAGTGCTTCAGGAGCACCACTGATAGTGAATACGTTGAGGGAGAAATCTTTCTGTATTCTGCTAATTAAAATTAGGAGATAGATTTGGAAGGTAATCATCCTTGCATTTAAATGAAAATTTTTAAGCGGATTAAAAATTTTCAGTACGTATTTTTCTCTCAAATTTAAATGTCTCATGTGAGTGATGGTCTACTGCTGACTGGAAGGAAATATTGCTGATCACTTGTGCAAAATGTGAAGGACACAGACATACTGTAGTAGTTAGTATGAAGACATTGGTCTTGGGGATTTAAACTAATGAATCCCTATTGTAGATACTTTTCAATATCTCTGTCATTTACTCTGTTACAATGCTGGGATTTGTAACCTTCCATCTTTATCAGATCAGGAAGGACTTAGGCATGTACTTCCTTTTGGAAAGTGTCTGAAACATAAATGGAATAGTATCTTGGGCAGTAGTTTTACAACATTTTTTAAAAGGATAAAAAGGCAAGAGGTGGAAAAGCAGACACTACATTGTCTACCAAATACAAGTCATTAGATTGGAACTGAAAAACATAGTATCTCTGGGCATAGTGTTTTTTCATACAGAACTTGCTGTCGTGATTTTCATGCAAAGCCTCTTTATCCACCTTCTGAATCTGTGTGTCTTTGGGTTCCACAGATGGCAGCTTTCTGATGGCATGGACTTGAAAATCATATATCATGGTGTATGTGTAGAATGCCTTTGAGCTCCTTTAGTGGCTATCAATACTGGTAGAATTAAGAGTATTTATTACAGGACTTGCTATAAGTGTAGTTACTAACTGAACAAAAATCAGTTGGGTTTTCTTTTAAAATAAAAGTTCAAAAATACACATTGTTAGAGGTAGCACTGATACCTTCTCTAAATATCACAATTAACATATCACATCAGTACAATAGCAGAAAATGTTTCATTAACTATAGTATTAATCTGGTCTGGCTTTATATAAATATTTGACTAGTGAAGCTTGATTTCCTGTGTCTCAAACTCACTTAGATATTCCTGTGTCCTTTTGTAAGAGTCCCTAAGAATTCATTGTCTCTCTCCCTAATTGCTCTGCCAGGGACCAAGAGCAAGTTGAGAGCTCTGCATCAGCTCAGTAAGAGCCTAGAAATGGAAAACTTAATTCTTCAGCTTAATCGGACTGAAGTGCAATCGTTTGTGTGTGTGCTGATACCAGCATGCACACTTGAGAGATTTTTTGGTCCCATTTCTGAAGGAGGAAAAACTGAGAATCTTAATTTTAGGGAATTGGTAAACATGAAGGTTCAAGGGTAACTTCACTGGAGATGTGATGAAATATTTGCCACATTACCCTCAGGTTGGTCTTCAGTTCTTCTTAACTGGTAGAAATGGCTTCTGTTTCCTCTGCTCTGGGAGGAAGGGGTTTTGGCAGTCTGCATTTATTGCTAGGGAGTTTGGAACTGACAAGTTAAATAGTTTGGTAACACAAAGCATCCTCTCATTTTCAAAATGTTGCTTTGCTGAATTTTTTCAAGCAAAGTGTATGGTTGGGGAAAAATACCTGTAGGCAGGTATGGATTCCTGGAAATCCCAGGTAGGCAACGCAAGCATACAGAAACTGTAGTCTCACTGGCTGCACAATATTGTACTAAGATAAGCTATTTTGTGTAGATAAGCTTTTATGTTCTGATTTAATGTCTCTTATTTTGTAGATGAGTTCAGTGAAAATGTTGCGGTCACGTCTCAATGGGATCCTTTTCAAGCTTATGTTTGAAGAGCACGTAAACAATATCAAGCCTGACATTATGGCGGTTACTCTGGCTTGTGAAGAGCTGAAGAAGAGTGAAAGCTTCAGTAAGCTTTTAGAGTTAGTGCTGTTCCTTGGAAACTACATGAACTCTGGCTCCAGAAATGCACAGTCTCTTGGTTTTAATATCAGTTTTCTTTGCAAGGTAAGATGAAGCTATAAAACATTTAAGTGCAGATTCATGAAACTCAAAACATGTGAGAAAGTATCTAAAACAGGGAAAAACATTTGCTCAGTGTAGTTTACTGACTGCACCTCCTTGTTTTAATGACAGATAAATGAATACAGAGTTAACAGTTCTAGGATGGCCCCCTGCTATAGCTGTTTTACTCACTGCAGTGGTTATTTCAGGCAGTTTGTTTTGACTCTGCAGAGTATAAAAGCAGAACAGTGTTTTCAATCTGAGTTTATTCTTATCAATAGCATAATACATAGAGCTCTGAATGGCTTCTACCCAGCCATTTCTCAAGCAGTGTCACAGAAATAAGTATTTGGGATTGAAGGTGGACTCTGTTATCCTAGGTTTTACTTCAAGTGTGGTGGCGAAGTGTGGGATGCAATGAGAACTTAGAATCTATAGCAGTCAGAGTTTGATGTTCAGTGATTGTTTGTTTATATGGCAAAACATGTGTGAGGCATTGATCTGAAATGGACCATCTCAGTTTGTAAAATATCTTTTGAAAGTATCTTGCAAATAAAGAAATACAGCATTGGTCAATAAATACAAAACAAAAATCAAAAGGCATAAATCTTGCAGAGAATTTTTTAATTATCTTTTTTTCCTAATTGGGGTATCCAGGTTTCAAGTCCCTTTTTTGGGCAGCATGAGGAAATCTGTTGGCTAACTGAAGGAAGTTGAACCTTGGTGGAAACGAGAATTTCCGATACACAGCAAGTCTGATCTGACATATTTGCAAGTCTTATCTGACATATTTTAGTAGACAAGGGCTGTGCTTGCTATAGTTTAATATAAATATATTGCTAACTTCTGGCCAAGTAGCAACCATCACCTGAGAAATACTTGCATTATTTAATAGCTTTTTTAAAGAGAGGCGAAGGCGAAGCAATTTTTTCTTATATCTAGTGCTGGGTTTTCTTTTTGGTAGCAGTGAAATCCAAAGGGAAATAAATGTTTTAAGTACAAAAATTATTTGTTAAGGATGGGGAGAGGAAATGATGACTGTGCATGAATGCTGCTCTAGCATAGCTTACATTTGAGAAGATACTCTTGTACTTCAGGTGATAGATTTATGAATTGCTGTCAATGCAAATCCCACAGATGTTGACCCAGCTAATGTAGATTGACTTATCCTGCAAATTGTTCTCTACTGAACTGAATAATTGCTGAAACATAGCTATCTGTGCTTACAGCTAAAAGCCATTTAAAAGAATGGAGACAAAAATCTATGACTATTTAGTTCATCCTTGCTCTCAGAAACAAAATCTATTTGTTAACATTCTTCTTTTATTTTCAAGATAGATATTTCTGAGGAATATGTCTTGTTTGTTTTTTTTTCCCCCAGTCCCTGTGAGTTTTAGAGAAAATACTTTAACATTCTGTATAATGTTGACTGTGCTGTTGCATTTAGGTATGAGGTACTTTTTGTTATAATGTGATGTTTAAAAATAAAATAATCACAAAGGCAGTGATAGTTGGTAGAACAAAAAGGTAGTCTTGCAAAATTCTTGACAAGTAATTGTATCATTAATAGTTCTACATATTGATAAAGCCTTGTGAATTATCACTCATAAGTTCCAAACTCAGATCAAGTAACTTAAGGTAATGGAAATGTGGGTAAGTTTCTCTGGACAGAGTGACATGTGCATTATCTGTAATTAAAATTTATTGATATTCAAGTTAAAAGATACTTTCTGCTATATAAAGCTCTGTTTTTGTTGCTTTTCTGTTGCCTTGCTAAGCTGAATTAGATTAGTATGATAATGTGCTTTAGCAATAGCTGTTTTTTCGAACATCATTTTGTACCTGTACTTATGCTATAATGTGCTTTAGCAATAGCTGTTTTTTCGATCATTTTGTACCTGTACTTATGCTGTAGCACTGTATCTAGAAAAGTAACCTACTTCACTGATGTTTAATTTTATAAATAAGAGGTGTTTACATGGTTATTATTCACCATGTATTTTTTTTTCTTTAAATGAGTTTTTCTTTGTTTCCTTTGTTTAATTGCTTTCAAATTCTGCCCTTCCATTGTCCACCCAAAATAGTAAGATGGCTTTATTGGCTTTGTGTTATTAACTAAGAGTGCAGCTTGACAGGCCTTTGTTACCTTTTGGGAATAGTACAAAATACTAAACTATATCAGGTGGTGGTAGCTTTTATGAGCACCAGGTTTAATATCTGTCTCCAGCCACTTACCAACTTTATTACATTATTCAAACAGTCTCAGAATTTCCACTTGGGCAATAATTGCTGTTCACTGTGAACATGAAAACTTCTTTGTGTTTAAGCATGGAGTGTATTGTCCTGCTTACTGAAATCTTGCTGTGAATTAAAATCCCTAATTTATATTTCTTGGCTGAACAAGGCAGTAAGAGAAATAAGTGGCATCTTAACAGCAAGCACAAGGTAGCAGTCTGTTGTTGTCAGATGGCTAACAGGGTTTTGCTCTGTGGGCCATCTAAATGCTATTGAATTTTGAAGGCTGAATGTTGGAAGATTGTGTGTGGTGGCAGTTTGAGAAGCCATGGTTACCCTATTAGATGTCTTCCTTGAAAAAAAATTGAAATGTCTCATTTCTTCCCTAAGGCCATGAATTTCAGTCCCCAAGCTTTTTCTAGAGGAATCTGGGGGCCTTTATTTTGCATTTTGAAAGATACCCATAAAGCTTAAAAATAACTATCTTAATATTTTGTGAAATATCTTGTGTGAAATATCTGTTTTTGTATATGGAACCATGACGAGCAGTAGAATTAGAAGTCACAATTTAGAAGTCACTCTAGCCTTAGATAGTACATTGTTAGATTAGAAGTCAGATATAACTTACCAAACATTGTCCCAAGGTTTGTTTTGCTTGCCATAAAGCCTGCTACTTTTTCTTTTTCTTAAGCAGGTTTAGAACAAGGAAAAGAATTTCTCACTAGTTTTAAACACTACTTGCCTAAAATAAGAACTGCTTCAGTAGGAGTTTTAAATTAAGACCACCTGGCTTAATGTTTTAAAATGTTGGTAGTTTCTTTATCTAATTTTTTTACTTTTTTTTTTTTTCCCCCGTGTCTCACTGTAAGAGATACTTGATGGGACAATGTAAGACGTAAGTTAAAAACCAGTATTATCCTCTGAATACTGTTGTTCTGGAAAGACTTGCCCTGTTAGGGAACAGAATTTATAATCAATCTAGCTAACTGTGAGTTCTGTGTAAGTTTTTAGCTGCTTTTTACTGTAGGTCGATGTTTTGCCCAAAGACAAGGATTTAAGTCTCAGAAAAAAGAACCAGAAAACATTTTGGGATAAGGGGAATCAAACCAGTGGATAATTGATCAGAATTTTACAAGTCTTCATGTTTAAGTTTTTAGCTTGAGGTTTTGAGGTCTTTTTCTGTTTTAGATAAGTGATTTAAACTATCTTTAATATCAGTGGACTTTGGGTCCATAAAAAAGAGATTTAAATTTTGAGCCAGCTGTCATCAAGGTAGAACTCATGTCTGTGTGTACATGTTTCTATAAGCAGAATACACAGAGTTGTTTGAATGATGAGATACCCTAATGTGAAGAATTCACTTTTCAGTAAAAACTGATTTGCTAATTGATTTTTTTCTGTCATCTTTGAACAATCTTAGGATTATCTGTTTAGTAGATGGTAGTACTTATGTTCTATGTTCTGAAAAAAGAAAAGAAAAAAGACAGGTATTGAATTGGGATAAATGTTTGGTATTTTGCAAAATAAATGTTTTTAAAATACAGCTGATAATGTCATACACAGTAATCTGTTATTGTGTAACAAAAAAAATTAAGAAAATTTGAATTAAAACCTGTCTGGTCATAACTAAGAAGCTAATTCCTATATAGTAATTGGAAATCCTTAAAAACAGATTATCTTTCTGGATGTTATATTGCAGTCTATGATGTTATTGAAGAAAAAAAATGATTTGTAAACAGCCTTTGGCAGAAGACAGAGAACTTAATTTTGTTCAAATAAGAGAGATCAATATTAGAATTCATGTGCTGTATCAAGGCTGGCAAGCAGAAGCACCTACTCTGATGTAGGCACTAGAGCATTCATGATTGCCTAAGTGTTAAGTGCTCTGTGAAAATATTAATATGGCAGAAAAAGTAAAGTTCAGGGAGGCTGCTATAGTAATTCACTAAAAGTGAATCTTTTTACCAGTTGTTGCATCTTAAACTTGCCCTTTGCCAGAGATTTTGTTTATAAAAGGACAATGTAGCTTTGTGCTGAAGGGCAATCATGCTATTGTAAATATGATATTAGTGTTGGTGACAAGGCATGTTCCTGGTGTAAGCTGAAGACAAAACAATTTTGTCCGTTTGGAGAAAAAAAATGCCTATGCACTTGATGATGTCAGAGAGATCAAAGACAGGAAATCCTACAGTTCTTGTTCACAGACAAATTGAAATGCAGTTTCTTTTTACCACGCAGATGTTGAGCCACTAAATCTATTTTTTTTTTTTTTTTTTTTCCCAAGTTGGAAACACTTCTATGTGTGTAACACATTAAAACCTTTTAACTGCAAACCATTACTGAGCATTGTTTAGTCCTTAATCACCGAATCGGTATGAATTAAATTGCATTCTTAATTGCCTAAATACCTTATATTTTTAAAAGCCTGTTTTTCGACTGCACTCATTTGTTCTTAACAGGGTAATCCCTAAAGCTGAAAGGCCTGTATTAAATTGAACATCGATGGCAAGCCTGTCACGAGGATTATAGAATTAGAACTTCTAGTGATTTAGAGAATGGGAAAACAAATAGGAGATTTTACACACACATTTATTATTTCTTCTTAAATCCTTAATTTCATTTGTTGTGTGTGTTATAGCTTACTTCTCTATAAGAACTGTCCTAAAGGTTTTAGTAAAATTGAGTTAAAAAAATCTTTACAGATGTACTTGTAATACTGATTCTATATAAAATGTGAAGTATGCCCATCTTGAACTCTTGCATACCCCTATTTGCTCTGTTGCCTTTATACATAAGGCATAATCTCTACTTCCAAAGAATCTTCAATCAACTCATATATTGTTTCTTTATCTCTGCATAAAAATGGAGTAACTAAATTTAAACTTAATTTAATTTTCACGTTCTCTTAAGTTCATGATGTTCCTTTGCATATACACATGCACTCTGCCACGGGATTTAACCGTAACTATAAAAGTTCACTTGGAAATTTGCTTGTAGGCCTGTATTTTAACTATTAGTTCAGAACTATTTTTAAAAATAATAAACTGATTCTAGCAGTTGAAACATTAAGGTTAATGGGAACAGAGAGTCTTACCACCTTCAAGATGACCTTTATTTCAGACCACTAAAAATTGCCTTCAGTTGAAAGGATAATAGTGAAACTGCAATAACCCATTGCTTCCCTCTGTGGGCAGTTTTCATGCAGCTTTTCATAAATAAACCTAAACATACTGAGGTTCCTTTACTTTGGCTTTTCTATTGTCATTTTGTATTCCAGTAGGGTGGGGTGCATTTATTTCATGTATCTGTATAGAATTTGTCTAAATGTCTTTAGGATAAAGCAATATGCTTTAGATTCTGCTTCAGTAAAAAAATATGGATTTATGACTAGGAGTTTCTTTAACTTGGTCAGTAAGAGACCAAATTCTGACTTTTAGTATGCTGTCCAGCTATACAGCATTTCAAAGAGGTTCCTTTACCAATCTGGCAGTGGAGGGCATTGAAAGAATGAACTACATTCTGTTCTGTTTAATCTCTGTTCACAGCTATTTTTTTTTAATCACAGTGAGCATTCTGAACTGGTGTGGCTAAACTTAATGACTTGATGGACTATCTTCACATTTTTTTCTCAGCATAATTATTATTTTAAAATACAGCATAAGGATAGATTCCCTTTATAGTCCTAAAGTATAAAGAATTGCAAAAGTTTCATTTTTTAAGAATTTGCTTCATTTGCAGGCAACCAGTGTAGGCAACTTTTTTTTTCTGTCAAGTTTACATCTACAATATTCACTTTATTAAAGCATCTTATGAAAATAAGTAATTTTTTTAAATATTTTTTTTTCTTTCTCCTGGCTTCACTTTTTAGATTCGAGATACTAAATCATCAGATCAGAAAACAACCCTATTGCATTTTCTGGCAGAAATTTGTGAGGAGAATTACCGTGACATCTTAAAATTTCCAGATGAATTGCAGCATGTTGAGAGTGCAAGTAAAGGTAAGCAAATAGATAAACACCTAAAGATAATATCTCTTTGCTTTGACAGTAAATACTCCCAGCATTTAATTTTAGGTTGTAGGATTACGTAACCTGTAAGCATTGATAATCCACTTGGATTTTCATTTTCTGGTATTTATTGACATGAGAAAAAGCGAGAAGGGGAAGACAGTCATAAAATAACTTTTTTTCTTCTGAAGTAGTTTATGGAAATAATACAGCATATTTCAGTGAAGTACTTAAAAAAAATCATGTATCAGAAGTTGTGTAAGCAGGGTAATGCTGATGTTTAGTTTACCATTAAGTCTTTGAAGTCTTGTTGCTTGAGAGTTAACAACCATGTGTGCCTGTGTCTCCGTGCACAGTATGTTTTTCATTTCAACACTTGATTTAACACCTGATTGGAGAATAACAAATAATCTTCCTCAAGTTCCCAGACTGCTTATGAAAGATATAGTTTAATTATACTGTACAGTCAATGATTAGTAGTTATTGTATTCTTGGTTAGTCAGCAGTATAGCCTGGTGAATCTGATAGAAAACCGCATTCATTTGCTGTTGTATATATTTTTCTGTGAAACATACTCTGCTGCTTGGCACTCTTAGCTATGGAAAGGGAAGGCTGTGACAAGGCTGATCAAGATATTCTAAGCTGTTTCATTTTGACTGGGCACATGTAAAGGTCTCTTAAGTTTCTCCTGTGGCTCACATTGTACCTGCAGGTCTGAGATTTCTGTGGTTTTGATTCAAAGCCTCTGATGTTCAATAAGTTGACTTGAAGAATTAAGCCATAAGAGTTAGTAAAATTTAGTTCAGTGATAGCATCCAAAATATGGAAAGCATACTAATAGGAGCCAAATCACGAACAATCCTGATCCTTAGAATATGTATGGAAAAGGTTTTAATCCAGTTAAATTTGTCTAATTCTGTAAGATAAAGGCTCATTACATTTCCCTTAAATAGCGTGGATTTCTTACCAGAAGCATAAATTATAGTTACTTTTTCGTGGCCAGGCATTCCTTTCAGACCTTCTTTGCTCTCTGTAACAAAGCAGATTTTTGCAATTTGCTTCAGTTATTCCCCATGGTACTTTTTGGATTTTGTATAATTATTGTGTTCATCCACTCTTGTCACATGCCATCACTTGTGCTCTGTAGGTAGTTAACATGCTTTGTGTGGATGAGAAGATTGTCAAGTCCTGTTTATTGTTTCATGGTTTATAAACCAGTGGTTTCAGGTTAATGTTTCCTGTAGGAGGCTTCATTTGGAATAATTTGCTATGGATATGAGGGCACTGACATCACATAGTTATACATAAAACTGAAAGTAAATCTACCAGAATCTTTGTATGAACTTTAAATAAATAAATAAGAGCAAAACAGGTGACAGCCTCTTTTCCTGAGCTTTATGTTGCTTACTTTTTAGGCAGAAGGCAACCTCGTAATTTGAACTACACATAAAATGCCAAATGAAAAACTTCCATGTTTAACTTCTTAAAATCATGGGTGTATTTTTTTATTTTCACACAAATAAAAAGAAAGTCTTGTTTTGCTTTAATTTTTGCATAAGAAAAAAGAACTAGCATCTGAACAATGGAGGAATGATTCTCTTTTTAACAAATAGCAGATTAAGCATAAAACTGGATTTTAATATGGAAAGGTCAATGGGATTAGATGAACTGCCCATGCATGTAGTAAAATCTTCAATAATCTGATATTAGGTATTATAAAATATTTGATCTTTTTAAAGATGGGAGATCAACTTAGAGGTTTATGAAAAGCAAAAATAATTTAGAAAACAGTTTTATCCTGGAAAGTATAAACGAAGGTCAAACTGATAATCAGGAGAAGATTGTAAAATCATTCCTTCTCATATGAAGCAGACTATGAAAATAAAACTAATTAAAAAATCACAAGATTTTGACAAACTGGATTATGTGATGGAAGTGATTCTCATTTACCTTACCCCAATCTGCAGTGTTTCCCTCTTGTTCCCCTACAGCTGAAACTATGCAAAGCCTTTAATCATATTTATATCTTGTTTGCTTGTTATTCCAGTTGATGCTTTTCATGGTATTTGCTCTTACTATTTTATAGTCTGGGATTTTATTAAACACCTGACAATGTCTCAACACTTTCTTCAGGTTCAATCAACCAAAAACTTCCCAACAAAAACAAGAAGTACCTTCCACAAATCAAATAAAAAGTCTGCAATTTCTAAACAAAGTTATATTGTTAAAAGTATAATTTGAAATTCCTTAGAAAAGATAGATATTTTTTGACCTGAAACTCCTGATTTTTAAGCCTCCCAGAAATCATAAAAAGAAATATATAACACATAAAATTGAGAGGAAAAGGATTGCCCATATATTTTATAATAACAACTTAACTATTGCTCTTAAAATAAAAAATTATAGCATCACAGTTCGTGGTTTAAACATTTAAAATACATATTTAAAATACAGCCATTTATTTTTCAGTTGTCCTGTTTCTCTTAAGTTGAACAATTCTTGACATGCTTGTTACTTGCTTGCGTTTTCTGTCAAGAGTGGATGTTACTGGGATTTGTTGAGTGAAGTTACTGAGCTTGTGTTGTCCCACTGGTGGTTACTTCAGAAACAGGTGGAATACGGAATGCTGTTGTCTGTGCTTGACTGTGTGCTGTCCTGACATGTTGGACAAGGGGAAGTGATACCTCCTGTGTATAGACAGGGTATGGATTTTAAGGGTAGCTCAGCAGTTACACAGGACTCCCAAGAAGAGCTAAAATCCAAGTGAAGGGCTGAGCTGAACTGTGGATGCAGTATAGATAATAAAGTCTCTTTCAGAAATTATGAGTGTTCTTCCTAGTGCTTAACATACAGAATTCTGTGCCTGAGATGAAGGTTTACCACTTAATTCTTTTACTGTATTGTTAAAATAAAGCATTCTGAGTAAAATCAAGTGAAAGATGCCTTAGGGGAGGTGAATTATGTCTTTGCAGTAGCTTAGAAAGTACTAATAACAGGAGCACAGATTTCTCACTCACTTCAACACAAAAACTTTATTTCTTTAATTTGCAAGCATATGGTTCTGACAGTTGTGGCATCTCTCTAGAAAGGACATAAGTAATCAGAAGCACTATGGATTGCAAATATGTATTACTTAGTATATGGTTAAAATACTGTTAAAATACCAAGTTTTAAATTCTGTACGGGTACTTCACAGTGACTTCATGTCATACTTTTAGAGAGGGGAAATTATTTTAAAATGTTCTGTGCCATTGTTGCTTTAAAGTATAGCAATTTAAAACATGTTCATAACTAGTAGTCATTTTTCTGTCAAACAAAAGTTTTATAGTTTGTTGCAGCAAACAAAAATGTTTTTACAGAGAGCTCTGCAGTGTTTTCCACCTTGCGCAGTTTAAATTGCTGGAACAGATTTTGCCCAATCTGGCACATTAGTGGATATAAAAGAGACAATGCCTTCTGGCATGAGAAGTTTAATGCCTGCATCTGTGGCTTTTTTCCCCATAATAGAATCTGAAGTTGGCATTTTGCATCATAATCAAAAGTCAATCTTGCACTGTATTGTGACTTATATAATTCTTTTCATTCACATAAACTCCAATATTGAAATATCAGAAACTCTCTCAGTGTGTTTTCCTGAGTATAGTAAATACACAGGTACATCAAATACTAGAGGATTGTTTCTCTAGTAACACTCCTGTACTTGCATCTAGCTTTGCCATATTGGTGGCAGCTTATGCATCATCTCATTAAAAGTTTTTCAACAGGCATATTGTTCTTCATTGACAAGCATCAGAGGAAGACAGGGAAGCAAGAACTTCACCGTTAGTTTTTTCTTTGGTTCCCATGTGCAATTTCTTAAAGAGATCCTGTTGGAGACTCAGTAGGATTCTGGATTGGCTTACACTCTGCATAATTGCTTACTAAATTTTCACAGTCTGTAAATATTTTGAGGTTTTATTTAATTTCTATTTTTTAATGTGTGATAAATGGTATGCAAAATTGTAGTTCTGAATTCTGAAGCTATATTTTGAGGCTACAATTTGGATTCTACATGAAACGAAGTCCTTTTGTATGGCATACATTCTATGAATCTGTTTCTCTTCCTGAAGTGTAAATATCAAGGGCAAAATTAAAGAATAGTTCCAATTACTCTCATGGGCTGTTTAAGAAATTAAAGCATTTAAGAATTTCTGACTGTAGTTAAACCAATTCAGATTTGAAGACTGCTTTAAATGACTTCTCAAATTATGTAATCCATTTAGAATTCCTTAATACCAGCCACAAGAGAGATGAAAGCTACAAAACAGCACCTACTCTTTGGTTTTTTTTCTTTGTGTTTGTTTTTTTTCCCATTAAATTTTAATTCTCCTTATCTGTGCTTGAATTTGCACATTCATTGAGGTGATAATGTTGTTATACTCCTGGAAGCATGGCTTGCACTTCAGTTAATAGGAGAGACCAAACTCCTGTTACAAGTTGAGAGCCTGAAGGGTGATCTGTTGGATGAAATTGCACAACACCTTCTGTAGTCAGTTTTTACTAACAACAGATAGTTTATGTTAAAAAGCTTTGCTCCCTCTCTTTTTTTGGTCTTCCCTGCTTTCTGCAGTTTCTGCATACATGCACCACTGAAAATTATTCCATAGCTGCTTCACCATGATTTCCAGCATGTGAATACCAGTTTGGTGTACAAACTAAGCAAAATTGAACTATGGAGAAATTCTGACAGTCCAAAATATGGGCTTTTGAAATAAACACAGCAGAATTTAGCATGTTCAGTTAGCACTTTGAAATCTGGATGTAGTGAGAGGAAAATAAACATAAGTCCAGTTGTTTCCTTCCCTTTCCTCAATTATAATTTGCCTGACACCTTTGCCAAGAAGTGTTGCTTCAGTTTGATAATTTATAATAGATACTAATTTTGTACTTATAAGCTCTATTTTCAAAATCAACTCAGGTTGTGAGAGCTTGAAAGACATTTGTAATTAAAT